AAACCATTATACCCTGATTTCCCATTTTCAATGGGTTCAGGGTATAAAAACAAAGTGGTACAGCTGACTGAATTTGATTAACCTATGACTCTAAAATTTAGAGAATTACAGTTCAAGAATTTTCAATATTCCATTCGATCTATTTGTGATATATGTTATATGTACATATAATCAATTTTAAATATATTTATATTTATTTTAATTAAATTCTGTCTAAAAGCCATTCTCCTAGTATACGCGTTACATTCTTAATGCCAGAACTGGCTTACCCCAAGTCTCACCTTGGTAAGAGCATAAAAAATACAACAACAAAAAACGCAAAAAAAAAAAACAGAACAGTCTGCATATATGTATGTACTATGAGTGTGTATCTTTGCGATACATAAAAAACTGTGTTTCGTGTTTTTGTGTTACTCAATTTAATTCAGGTAAAATATATGTATATATGTATGTATGTACATTTTTTCGTCCAGGCCCGCAGCGCTCTTAAACTTTGGTCACGAACATGAAAAAGCGTCGTTTCCGTCGAATTGCTCGAAAATGGTTGACGGTTGATTGGTTCAGTTTTTGGTCAGAGGCCTCAGGTAGAGGGCAATGTCTAGACGAATCGAGTCTCGATTCAAAATGGCAGCCAAACTAAGTTTGAATACCGAATACTAAATATGAATATGAGTGCGAGCGAATTAGTTCGTACGGCCAAAATATGAAAGGAAAACCACAGTTAGCAAAAGGAAAAAAAAAAGCGAAATACATAAAATAATAGAAAATGTAAAAATGTAATTATGTTTATAATTTCACTCGTAATGCTTTTATCTCTGCTTTTGCAGCTTGTTTTCGTGCCCATTCAAAAAGAGTCGAAAACAAGGCTGAGAAAAAACGTGGCCATTCAAAGTAGCTAACAAAAATTCAATGGAAAATTGAAATGGCCAAAACGAAACGGCTTAAATATCTAGCCGTTTCATTTGCGGCTTTCAGCCTTCAACCTTCGCACACTTTTCAGTCCGGCCGTAAATAAATACGTATTTTATAATGGCATTTAAATATGTTTTGCGGTTCCAGACTTCATTGCACTTGATATATGTATGTACTGTATGTATTTTGTTTGTATTCTGCTTTGTTTTGAGGTTGGTTTATTGGAACAAGCCGAGCCTCAACGAATGCAATTTGCTGTACTTATCTAGCCAATTTAAAATGTTGTGGTTTTGATGTTGCATAATGGTAAGAAACTGCTTCAACTTACTTATGGAGTTATCACCTGAAAGAGAAAAAGAAAGAAATTATTATTTATCTATCAATATTTTGATGAGCTTATTTCATATTAATTTTAAATTAATTGCTACAAATATACCATAAGGAAATTATAAATATGAAAAGTGGTAGAATTTTATATTTACATAGAATATGCATAATATTTCTGAGCTGTTTTCTGTTGAATGAGTTATGAATAGGCAGTCAGAGATTCTTTCAATTAAATAATTTTAAAATTGTACTCAAAGATCCCAAATTGAGTTTGATCATCAATCAACTTTCTAGGGAAAAATAGTTTGTAAATCCGAAAAAATTATACATACTTCAAATTATATTCTTTATTATTTTATTATTCCTTGCTTATATATGAAGTTTTTAATCGAAAGTCTACTTTTCCGAAGAGGTTTTCATAAACAAATAAACCTATCTTCCTGATATAATTAAATTGAATTTCTCTTATTTTTTTTGGTAATTTATTATTCTTAGTCGCGCGTATACAAAACACGATCAACTAGAATTTGAGACAATTTTTTTTAGCAATATTCTTAAAGTATTTGATATATTTTTTTTTATTAATATTATTATTATATTTTTTTAAATATTTTTTCTTGTTTAAAGATTTTATTTTTAACGAAAATATATTTTAAAGTATTTAAAATACAGTAATTTTATTGTTTTGATAGAATATTGAAGATTCCAGCTATTTCTTTTATAAGCTATCTGAATTCAAAACCTGCGCTTAGCACTAACTCTTTTAGCTGTTAAGAGAGTATATCCAACTTTAATCGACATTAATCGATTTACTGTCTTGCCGAGCTACTTTATACTAAGGCAATCTGTACGTAGCTCATAAGAAACTTTCTTGTACACTTCGAGCGGAGTTTGTGGCTACTTACTCGCTGGCAAGTAAGTATTTTGAAATTGAGCACAAAAGTGGAAAATAATTAACCCCAAACTTGAGAGCGGAAGTTTCGACTTGTGTAGCCACTGATGCTGCATGTGAGCCGGGCCATAGTTGAGGCTGATAGGGCAACACATGCAGCACGTAACGAACGGTCAAGCAAATGGCCAGAGAGACCAGGCCGGGCCGGGACTGGCCGCTTCCGGAGTCAGCGACATCAGCAAAATATTAAACAACTTGCAAGCCAAAGTAATTGAGAAGTTTTCTATGCTTCGATGGCTGAGAGACAAACCCGACTCAAACTAAGCAGCGACGATGTCTTAAGGCGGGCATCGTGCTTCCTCTGCCAGTACGTTATTTGCACAAAAATGAAGCGAGCGCCCAACCGAAATATCAAAGGAGTAATCCGCACGGAGTTTGAGTGCCTCGCAAAATAAAATCATGCGCTTGGAAATAATAGCGTCTGGGCTGGCAATAATTTCTGGCTGGGCGTGGAGCCAAGTCTATGGCAGCTTCATGAGCAACAGTCAAATATATGAATTGAGATATTTTTGCTAGCATAGGGCGGCAGCTGCGTGATTAGCAAGTATTCGCATAGATAATAAGTAAATATGAGTATTTATATTTATTGCAGCTGGCCTGAAGCCCATCAAATGTGACTGGCATTTTCCTAGGCATAGCCCAAGAGATGCTTTAACAGTAAATTGCCCATTAGCTTTAAAGATGCAATCGATCCATAGCTCGACTACTAAATTATGACGGAGTTAGAACGTCGCTTGAAGTTAGAAATTTTGTAAGTTAGAGTAAAGTAAATTATGCTCGTTAAGAAGCACACGATTGATAAGAGTTTATATCTATTAAATTTTGTATAGTAAAGTGATTGTTAAGCGGAGAAGAAATTAATCTTATTGTATTAGAGCTAGAAATCAAAGGATTTTCTTTTCCATATAATATATTACATTGATTTGAATGTTTTCATTAATATTTCAGGGTGATTTAATAAATAATAATAAATAATAATATTATTAAAAATTGATCTAATGAATAATAATTTAATAATAATAATAAAAATACAAATACAATATAATAATATATATAAAAATAAAAATAAATAAATATATATATATAAATAATAAATAATAAAATAATATTTATGTTATAGTCTAAATGAATTATAGTAATTTTGTTGATCAAAATTTTATATCATTTAATGGCTTGGGATAGATTCTAAACCTTTAATTTTTGAAATTCTGATACGAATGAAGATATGATTGAATGAAACTAGATATGAATATAATATATACTATTCTCATTCATTGTGTATTCCTATATATAAATTATATTACAGTCTGAGCTGTTATAATGTTCACATATTTGTTCGCAATGCTGGGTTAATGTCTAAATTCAATTTAAAATGTATATAATCAGTTTTCGAAGCATGTTTAAAGGCCATTTGCGTAATTGAAAAACGCGAAATGGACAGCTAATGTGTAGGAACATATTAAAATGTAAGTGAAGTTTAAAGTTGCTTTTGTTGTGGGCTCTGCTCAGGCAACAACAGTCGAAGGCAAAGCCAAAAGCAGACGCAGACGCAGAGCAATGGCAACGCCTTGGTCAGTTCAAAATGATAGCATTGCTCTTGTTGTAGTCGTTGTTTGTGTTGTTGCTGTTGTTGCTGTTGCCCCGTAGCTGACTGACAGTAGGTGTGACCAGTCTACTCATTCATTCTGACAGTTTTCCCACCCACTCTTGCACAAAACGCAATTTGTTGGATTGTAGGTTGTGCCCTCTAAGCACGAAAGGTAAAAGTGCTGGCCATATCGAAATATATGTGTGTGTGTGTGTACGTATACGTATATCAGAGTGTGTGTGTATGTGAACCACCACCGCTGCGGCATTGCTTACAGCCCGCTCTGGCTTCCCCTGGGCGGGGGGTAGTTGGGTGGGTTGCTTGTGGCGCCACAAACAGCATTTTTTTCTTGTAATTTTTTTTTCGTTTCTTTTTGTTTTTTTGGTTTTTGCAGTTGCCAGTCGCGTGTCTCGCTGCGTATTTGAATTCTGGTTTTTCTTGGCTTTTCATTTTGGGGTTTTCTTTTAGGCTGCGCTTGCAACTAATTTTCATTTCCAGCACGGTGCACCTTTTGCCTGGCAAATCTTATTAAAAAGTGAACAGTGCGATAAAATTGAATTTGCATTCAAAAGCCATTAACCGCAGCAGTCGCAGTTGTTGCTGTTGTTGTTGTTGTTGCTGCTGACAGACGTTGTCCTTGCAGCCACAAATTAAGCAGGATACGAGAATTCTGCTTGTCTGACTCGCAGCTTTAATACCGTAGCCTTGCAATTCGTGGATTTTCGCTGTATTTAAAATTCGCGCTTAAAAATTAATATTTCACGCACATTTGGCAAATTCGGCGGCAGCTGCTAATGGCGTCATGTATATATTTTATTTTGATTTTTCATTTTTATTTTCAATACGCAATTGGAACGTGCCATCGATAAATATTGCCGCCGAAATTATTATACAATAAATACAGCAACTCACGTGGAAAAATATTATTTTAATTGCATATCAATTTCACGCTCTTTAACAAAAGCAACGCACGGCAATTTGACCAATCATCTGAACGAAGCGTTTACACACACACACACACACACACACATGCCAGACAGGCAGGCAGACAGATACAGATACCGATACAGATAGAGATACCCACCCACCTGGATACCATTTTGATGCCAATTGACATTCAAAATTAGAGCTAAACGTTCTCCAATTACCCAGAGCACGGAAGCATGTAACCATGGAGGTGATTGCCAGCATTTGTCTGGGGGTTTGGCTTATGGCTAATGTGACTCCAATTGGAACTGTTTGGCTGGTTCATAAATGGCCCACTTATTACAATATTTATATGGCTGCTCGTGCAGGAATATCAATTAATAACTGCACTCTTGTAATTACACTCAACTCGATGTGTGTTTAATTGAATTTCTACCTGTGTTTTCAAATGTCAGTTATTAATTTATTTGCGCACAATAAAGCGCACGCCTCTAATCCATAATATTCAAATGCAACACGTTGCATTTATGCGCGAAATTTGTTGCAGCTGTAAGCATTATTTTAATTACGCGCTGCTCATAGGCATATGAACTAGACATTAAATGGTTTTTATAAAGGAATATTCAATGTTTATGCAAAATATGTGCACATATATATTCTCCTACTATTGGAGCTATATAAATTTAAACTAATGCTGTGTAAAAAATCTAATAAATAAATATTATGTGTAATATACTCATTACTGCTCAACCTTTTTGTCGATTGGATTCGAAATATTTTGAAACCATGCCATTTTAAATATTAATTTATTTTTTGTTTTAATTGAATTTAATATTTCATAATTCTAATAATAAATATTGACTTTAGAAATATTATCAAAATTGTCTTTCATCGCGCATAGATGCCGAATGGTAAAGGTTTATGGCACAAATTTAAAAATGTAAATTTTTTATTTTTTTCTTTCTAACTCGCTAAATCCATATAATTTGTCCTTGCAGTCTAATTTTGCTTTTTCAGAAGAAAACAAATAAATAAAAAATATATAGATCTTATTTTATTTGTATGTTTTAATTTGTATGGGTAATGAAAATAATGAATATATTGTGAATTTTTTTCACGTTACTGTATATATATATATATCTACAATTATTCTTAGCTTTCATTATTTCCAAATAGACGGAGTGAAATATCTTATATTTCACATAAGCAAAGACAATAAAAATGTTTACATTTAGTGAATATTTAATATATGTATACATTATAATTATTTACATTATATACTTTATATTATATTAGACGGAGTGAAGGAGCTTATATTTTTTTATCTTACACATTATAATTATTTTCTCTTTTATTCGATATGGACTTGGTTGATTAAAATTTATTAAAAAATAAGATTCTGTTCGTTTTGCACTAAATTCAAAATGTACAGGGAAAACCATTCCCACAGAATAAACCCGTAATGTTTTCGCACAATAATCTTAGACATGTCATATGTATATGTGTGTTATATGTAAACTTAGTCACAAATACAGCCACACAAAAAGCT